GAATGTCTTCACATATATCAAAGATCTAAAAATTGTTTCTTATCATAATTAACAAGCAAAATTCAAGCCACGAAAATGAGTCCCAGATAATCTGTTCTTGCCTTTAAATTCCACTGTTGCCAGAACAAGTTTTCACAAATGCCATTTGTCATGCATTCACCAAGTTAAGACATGATTTTCAGAATGCCACATCATTATGTGCTTCCCGAATTTTCCTGAAGACCCTTCTATATTGATCTGCATTCCAATTACAGCATTGTTTATGCCATTCCAAATGGTATAGGGCAGCACTTCTCAACTTTTTGACTAACCCATACCATCTAAACAAAAATCAAAAACCTTTAGTACCACCACCACATTTTACAATGATTATTTTTTAATTTCTGAATAGAAATATTGAAAAAAAAAAAACAGTTTGCCATTTGCACAACCTATTGGGTATTTGTATTAAATATGCACATATAAAAATATTAGATTTAAAATTGGTTACCATTTCAATTATCAAAATTTAAGTTATAATACTTTAATTCTAAAATTTAGTGCGGGATTTGGTTCTGTTTAACCCTTTGATGCGCGCGTTATTTTTTAAATTTTTTTAACTAAAAACTCTAGAAATTGAATATTATGATCCTAGAGACAAATAATATATGAATTAAAAAAAATCTACTCTTGCCCATTGATCTGTGGGTGGTGGTTGCATTGTGAAACCACCGCGTGTCTAGGACTTTGAAACTTACTGATGTAGTAGGGGGGGGGGACTTACCATTTTCCGTGCACGTTTCCAATAAATGACGAAATTTACAGATTTTAAAAGAAAATGTATGTAAGAATTGCATTATATAAATTTTTTTTACATTATTTTATAAAGTAAATCGTCAAAAAAAATTAAAAAATAAACATTTATGTAATTTCTCTATAACAGTGAAAATATAAGTACGTACATAAGGACATTTGAATAAATGGATTAAAAAACTCAATAAAATAAGGATAAAAAAGAGCTCGGTGTTTTTTAAATTTCAAAGAGCAAATTTTTTTTGTGACACTGTTCAAAGCATGTTTTGTCTTTTTGGCACATGCATAGACCCACACTGCACATTTCGCACATACAATCTTGTTCTACGAGGTTTCTTCCTTGTGCTACAAAATGTACACTGCCTGGATTTAAATTTCACTGGTATATGTCCAGCGTTATTTAGTTTTTCATCTGGCACATGTAATTTGTGGTTATTTATGTTAATGGGGGGGGGGCTTGGTCTTTTTGCTTTGTACGGATCGTTCGTTTCCCATTCATACTTATTTTATTCGTATTTCGTCCCAAAATATTCAGAAAATATTTTTAATTTAAATAAAACTTTTATGCAATTTCTATTTTTAATTATAGCAAAGTATATTTACATTAAATTTAAACCACAGGAAATAATTTATAAAATCACAATACTAGCTTGGGGAGCAAGTGTGTTGATGTCAGAGAAAGGTATTTGGAAAAGAAAGACCTTTTTACTGAGCAGGTGCATGTATTGTTTAGTAATAAAATAACTCTGTGGTTTCAAAGCCCTGTATCTATATCCGGGTAAAAATAAACATTCCTATTTGAAAAGCAAGCGAATGCCATTGTGAAGCACACGCCAGTGGTTTTGAAGCGTGCGACCACCGAGCCTCTAGAGGAACTGTGAAGCATTGTGACAACAATGCTCTAGTGGCGCAGTGGTTGCGCCCTGAAACTACATAAACAAATGCCATACAATATAGGTATGGGTTTTTTTATATATGCAATTTAATTATTGCAATTTTTTATTGCTTCATGAATAGAAAATCATGATGTGCAATGACTAACTTTTGAAAATTTAAAGTTGTTTATGTTAATAAAAGGAAGTTATTTTGTCTCATCGAAAAAGAATTTTAAAAGGTATCCGAATTTGAAGTACTTAAGACCTTAAAACATATATGATTCTACAGTCATTTTGTGTTATTTAGATGTAAGATCAGTAATCAATTCATTTTCATTCAAAATTTTCGGAAAAAAGAGGAGAAAAAAAATTCGGAAAATGGTGGTTTCAGGACACGACCATCACGCGTCAAAGGGTTAAGAGAAATGAATTTTTTTATGTGTGGTCTTATTTCACTTAATTTTAAGCTTAAATTAAGATCCACATTTAATTTCTTGGGAATCCTTTTTTTTTTTACTTTAGTTCAACAAAAGTGTTATTTTTGAAATCTTCAGTTAGAGTTCGATCATAGGAAATTTCTATGAATTGTTCTTTTTCTTCATGAGATAAAATTTCAGGTAATCATTTTAAACAAAATCGATTTCTAATCCAATTTACTTTTTCATAATCCTCAGGAAAGTACACGTTGAAATTATTTAACAATGAAAAACAATGATTTTTAATGCCGGATGCTAATTTTTCTTTTATTTTTAAATCATTTTCGGTTAGAAAACTTTCTTAAAGTGACAAAAAGCTTAAAATATTATTATCGAATTCTTTGATTATTAGCTTGAGGTTTTTCGTCATTGCCTTTATTTTACTCTAATGGTAAACAAATTAACATTTCGTCCTTGTAATCCTAAATTTAATTCATTTAACATTTCAAAAATATCAGCTAAATATGCTAAAAGCGCCAACCATAATTCACTAAACAAACATTTTTGCAATTCAAATTTTGAATGACAGAGGAAAATTTAAATTTTTGACCAAAGTTCCAAAAGATGATTTAAAACTTTGCCTCTGGATAACTGCCTTACTTCGGAATATAACAAAAGCATTTTGTGTTCATTGTCCCTCTCTTGTAAAATCGTATTGAATTTAAAGCTTGGCTTTTAATAAAATTAACAATTTTCTCAGCTTGATTTAAAATGATTTTCAAGCTTTCTGGGATTGTTTTGGCTATTATAGCTTCACGATGTATGGAGCAATGAGTAAATTTAGTTTCGGGTGCACCCTTCTTTATTTGAGAAATCACACCGAATGTTTTCCTGTTAAAACCCAAGCTTCATTACTGCATACATCAATGCACTTATTCCATGGAATATCATTCTCAGACATAAAATTGTCAATTACTTTGAAAATTTCACTTGCAGTCGCTCTATCATGAAGAGATTTGCAAAATAAATACTACAGCAATTTGTTTATCTTCTTTGAAACATATTTAAACTAATAATTGAACAAAGTTTGTTATATCAGTATTTTCATCCAATTGCAATGTGAAATACTCACTGTGTATTGTTTTTTGAATAAGTGTCTCTTTTAGGAAATTTGCTATTTCATGAATTCGTTGACTTACTGTATCATTTGATAATGAAATTTTATCAAGTTCATTAGCCCCTTTTTCGTTGAATAATGCTAAAATGATATCATTAGCTACTGGTAAAGTAAGGTTTTCTCCAATCTCCTGCGCAGTCTTAGCAGTTATTAAGCTTACAGGTAACTAACTAGCTTCCAAAGCTTTCACTTGAAATAATAAAACTTTTCATTACTTGTCTACTGTTTTTGTCAGATAATTTCCTCTTGAAATGTATTTCAGATTTTTCCTTTAAATTGGCATGCATAGACTCGATGTTTTTTAAGAAATGATGGTTTCATACTTTCATTGGATAATAATTCAGTGCAAAACACATTGAGGATGAGGGTCCATTCAAGTAAACCCAAATGATAAATAACTTTCGTTATATTTTCTAAAAACAATTCTTTTTAGTATTTTTAGTGCTAGTAGATTGTACTGGATCGTCACTTTTCCGCTTAGTCAATCCTAGCCATTTTTCCAATTTGGATATCCAGGTTTGTCTATAAGCGGCTACTGACCTTATGGCCATTTCAATTATTTCCTTGGACTGCCTTAATTAATGATTTGGGTTTTATGCCATTCCTGACTTTACTGCTTCAAAGAAGTGTCACAATACAATATGTTCCTAATAGTGCAAAAATATGTAAAGTTTTAAATCATGTAACCATACTATTACCTTATGTAAACCTGCTTCAGTTAAAGAATACTGTTCAGGAGGAAAGAGCGCAAAGTCCGGTGATCATGCTGGAAACTTAGAAATTGATTGCATCAATGCATTGAGAACAGTAGCCACTGCCTTCAAGATATTTTGTTTAAAACTTTACTACGTTCTTCCTTTACACTCCGCTCTAGAAAGAGGTTTATTCCTTAGTGTTAATGTTTGTTTTCTTTTGTAGTGTTGGTTATGCACAGGGTTTGTGGGAATTAACTACTTACTGAGAACTGCTTATAGTTGTTTAAATCTTTAATTTTAATGAAGCAAAAAGCATTTTGTTCCTTACACTGGCAGATGTTTTATGCATTGCTTTAAGTTCCACATGAGCACCACTATTATCTACTAGTTTTCATAAACAATAAGGGATGTTAGTAAGGCTCTTGCAGGTACTTAAACAATATGTTTGTAAGAACTTGACTAATGCACTCCACTTAATTATGCTAGTTAAGAAATACTGCAAATGAAACATGGCTTCATCTACTTACAGGATACTGCCAACAAAAGATGGTGTCAGTCTTCATAACAAGCAAGCATATGCCCATATCTCAAATGATGATCACAGTCTTTCAAGGAAAAGTAGAAGAAATATGGTTTTTATGGAAGAAAACTGAACTATACTTTTAGAAACGTTTCGATTGTGTGTCAGGTTAATCCACATTTCAAGACGCCTGCCTTTGTGGTTTCTGAAGGCTAAATAAAATTTTCTGAAACACTTGCACATCCTCCCCCCTCCCATTTTAGATTTTGAGCAACAGCCATATCATTTAATAAATTCTATCATTGGATGATGGAACGATTTTGTGTGTGTGAGAGAATGTGTATTACAAAAATGGATCGAGGATTAAAAATATTACAAACAGTTTTCAAAAGTTAATTACTACTCATACTATGTGAGAGTTATCCACTTTCAGCTAAGGATGTGTGGTGAATTCTGACTATACTGTATGCATATTTTATAATAAAAGAAATATAGATAAAACTTAAAAAATGAATTGTAAGAAAATTCTGTCATTTTATATATTTTATTTTACATATAAATAAATATATATACACATATTATTTATTCAAAATATTTTGATAATTTCAATCTTGGTACAATATTCATTGACTGTAACTCTTGAAATAGAAGTTTGCATGCATACGGAAGACGTATTGAGGCTATATGACAAGATGAGCTGCAGAAATGACACCTGAAAACAAGAAAAGTAATACATAATTAACTTATAACTTTAATATGAATTTCAAAAATTAAATACTTTTGTCTGTCATATTTTTACAAACTAGCTGATGAATGCAGAATGGCAGTATAGGATTAATGACTTAATTTTTTAAATTTATAAAAGCAAGTACTTTTAAGAAATTAAATTGCACAGTATTTGTTTATATAAAATAACTAGTGTTTTAAGGAAACTGTCCAGAAAAGAAAAATTTTAAAAGACTATTTTGATGATAAGTAATTAACCAACATGGCTTTCAAACCATTTGGTATCTAATGATTATGAAGCTTGTCTTGGATTTATTCAATAGACTAGACCACATTTCTAGCTTTCTTTCATAGCTTCAATAAAGTACTATATTTAAAAATATGATTAGATACCTTGTATATATCAAGTATATTAAAAGTGCAATATAAAAATTACTACAACTAAAAGCAATGAAATCAGCATTTGCTTACCAGCCAGAATATCCCAAAAGACCACATTTGCTGCAGATATCCACATCAAATGCATCACTGGAAAGCATTAATCGCTCTAAAAGGAGCATACTAGTTCCATGACCAATTAAGCAGTCTCTTTCCATTTCACCTAACCTCAATCCACCATCTCTTGCTCTTCCTTCAGTTGGTTGCCTTGTGAGGACAGTACGAGGTCCTCTTGCTCGGGCATGGATTTTATCTACTACCATGTGTTTTAATTTCTGATAATACACTGGTCCAAAAAAGATATATGACTGAAGAGGTTCCCCTGTGATACCTGATGTCATGCAGTCTTTACCGAGATAATTAAATCCACATTTTATGAGATCCTCAGATATGTCTTGAACTTTGTCTCCACCAAAAGCTGTTCCATATTTTAGCTGACCTGTTAATACTCCTGCTTTGCCTGCTAACAGTTCAATCATTTTACCAACAGTCATACGAGAAGGAAATCCATGTGGATTCATTATTAGGTCTGGGCAGATTCCTTGATCACTGAATGGCATGTCCACCTGTTCTGCAATGAGCCCAACAACACCTTTCTGACCATGCCGGCTACTGAATTTGTCACCTATTTCAGGTCTTCTTGTTTGCCTGAGAAGAAGTTTGATGAGGAAATCTTCTTCGATGTCAGATGTTATCATTACCTTTTCAACATATGAAGGTAATATTCCTTTTAACCTGAAATATGAATAAATTTTCAAATTCTTACACAAAATAGCATTGTAAAAATTAAATAATACTAGTTTAATTTCTATTATTACTGATTTAAATCTTACAAATTATAGAAAAAATTCTAATTTATATCAGAAAAGAATTAGTACTTACATTACACTGATATTGTAAACTGATGAAATATGTAAGCAACAGTAACAAGCATCTTCAGAACAAACTAAGTTAAATTTTTGGAACAATTTTGTAGTTTGCAGTGGAAGAAAATTCTTTTAAATTCCTTAAACAATAAAGAATTAAATGTAATTGCTTGCTTATATGTTTCTTCAAGTACTGAACTCCTGTTAAAATAAAAAAATTTCGTCATTGTATTTCCTCTCTAACCTATATCCTCGTAACAGTGTGGATCTTTACTGTTTCTTGAGCAAATTATTTCTTGCTTCACGTTACTGTAGGGTACTGTTAAACTTACTCTTTGAATCCTTTAAACGTTAACAATAATGACAAAATTATCCATGCATCAATAGATCAGCTGTTTATAATTCAAGTTGGGACACTCAAACCTATCCAAGTAAAATTTGTGCAAATCAATGGATGAGATAAGTCTAAAATACAGTGAAGTAATGTGTAATTGTCTAAAATACCATCATTTTTTTTTTTTTTTGTCACAGAATTTTTATACGATTCCAATCTGGACCTTTGGTCATAAGGACAAAATCACACACCTGCCTGATAGATGGATAATAATGGTTTAAATCGCTTTAATATTTTTTATAGTAAATGGAACAAAATATTATGCCCAAATTTTGGCTGGATAGCTAAATAATATTTTTTCTTAGTACAAATTATAAGGGGGTTTGCTACCTTCACAACTTTTTTTTTTATTATTATTTTTGCATGAACTATAACCAAATTTCTACATCTTGTAGACCACAATTAAAATAACTATTTAAGAGTTGAAAAGACCAAAATTATTTACATACTTTAAAAAAAAATAAAACCAAATGTTTTTTAAAAAATGTAATTTTTAACTTTTAGAAATTTTTATAAAATTTTCATAAAGAAAATTTAAAAAATAAATGCATACTTTTATTTAATACATCTTTACATTGCTAGAAAAAAATAATTTTAGCTTTTAACTATTATAGTTAAAAAGCATTAGCATTTTAAATGTTTTCAAAATCTGATAAAAAAGTTCTGAGATAATTGCAATAAAGTATTATTATCAAAATAAAATATTGTTAAAATGACTATAAAAGAAAAAAAAAAAAAAAAAAAAATTCCCCCCCCCCCAGAATCTGCGTACTTTCTAAAATGTTTCTTTGATGATTTCATTCTTATGATATGATGTCTCTAAGATATTTTGTCGCTTGATTCACCAAAAGATAACATAGAAATATCTTGAAACTTAGATAAAGCTGCTCCAGTACCCATATACTCAACAATGGCTTCACAAGCTGCCAACTCCACCACATTTTGAAGCATTCACAGTTTTTGGAATCTTAAGGGAGATTTTGTTATGCAAAGATTCATTTCGATTTTGTGTTAAACACTGCTCACAATGCTTTAGTAGAGAATTACTTGCTAGTCACTGATATGCTGGAAGAATATGTGGCAAAATATTCTCGTTTACTGGTGTTCTAATATTGCTTTTGTGAGAACCTGGTGTCTGACCTTTTGCTAACGAGGCTTGATAAAAACACCATGAGTTCTTCTCCTTTGGGCATTTTTCATGCCGAGGTTTCTTATCAGTAGGCATATTATGGTACAGGGTGGCAAATATAGCAGTTTTCATACCTGTAATGTTTCCTTTATTTGAACGAATAGCATTGTAATAATAGTGTTTTAGCTTTTTTATTGTGATTTCTTTTAGTTTTCCATATCCTTTTCCACCTAGGGTCATTTCTTTTGTTGCACACTCTTTCACTGCCTTTCGCAAGTCTGTACCTAACCATTTGCTCACATGATTTATGCATTCTTGTTTCTCGATTTTAACACCAGATTATCTGTTCATACTTGATATATGATTAAACACTTTGGAATCGCCATCAAATATGACAGCAGTGTAACGAAATCCTAAATTTACAGATCTTTTCCAAAGAATTTCAGCTGCATGCAAGTCCACAGAACCTGATTTAGCCTTATGATATTTTGACAGGTAACCTGCTGCCCTTTCAGCCAATAATTAAATTCTGGGGAGTCTCCACCCAAGTTAGATTCCACCAAGTGACATTCTTGACAAAATTTACTCAATACAACATAATCTAGTACATATCCCGAGTGAATCAATAATGCACTCAACTTCTACTTAAAACGAGAAACCTCTAGTATGCCAACTTCCATCAAAACTAACAGAAATATCAAAAACATCAGTTATATCTAAACTGGAGTGTGACTATGATGTATTTTGATACTCTGACTTCACCTTTCATGAATATCTGACAGTGTGGACTTTAATTGATGCATTATCAAAAAATGAAATAAGTTAAATTTTCTCGAACACATCACAGGTAAGTTCATCACCATTCCAAACTGTTCAATAGCAGCGTAACCTTTGCCAATGTGTAAAAATGCTTGACACATTCATCAATTGATGTCAAAGCTCTTTTCAGAATGATCCTTTTTTTTTTTAGACACAACAGATGATTTTACTACATCACAATTTGCGCATTTTATGGAAATTTTTGAAGCAAATCCAGAACATTGTTCAGCATCAAAATAAAGTGAACACAAACTACATTCAGAAAAGGAGTCGTTACCAGCAATTCACTGAGCTGTTCGACATCAGCAACAACATACCTTGTTTCATTTCCAAAGTTAAAATGTGCAGTCTTATACAAGTAGAATGCAAATCTTCAATCCTGCAGGATTCTTTTGATTGAGATATATCTTTTTCAATATTATCAAAACAACATTGCTTTTTAGCTATTTTATTAGCATGAACGTTCTTTCGTTTTTGTCTCAGCATCATCAAATATAATGTAATAAAAATGCGGCAACATGTAAACACTAGAACACAGTTTACAGTTACAGTTACACTTATTTTAAATGATATAAACCATGGGTGAAATAAACGCAAAACCATAGTTGCAATAAGAAGTGACAGCTGCAAGAGAGAAAGTGAAGAGCAGTGTGCAGATGTAAACAATCAAAGAAGTCCCTTTAAATGGTTATAGGAATTACGAGTGAGTGCTACATTTGGTGTCATATCTTGAAAAGTAATCCATATTTTTCAATGCGGTTCTTTGTGAATTCAGAATTGTTTAAGTATTCAAAATAAATAATAAAATTTTTTACAACGATTTGACCATTTTTAATGTATCAGACCTCTATAAGACATTTGGGGGGGGTGAGGGATTTCTCTTTTTTTTTTTTTTTTTTTTTTTTTTTTTTTTTGAAAAGTGAAGTACCTGTTGCATGCAAAATGGCTTCAACAGGAATATCTTCTATACTATGAATCTCTTCATGAGAAAACATACTCATAAGTATATAATATATTTATTCCAGCTTCATTTATCAGGCTTATTCATATTTGTGTTTGTATACACGGAAAGTGAAGATTACAGTGCAGGCTCCATCTTAATGGCAGAGTTTTCTGACAAGAAGAGGAAGAAAACAAGGAAAATATATGATGTTATAAAAGTTTTAAGAGCTATCACATGCGAGTTGAGACCTGACTGTATGTGTAAACTTTTTCAGTGTTTTTCTTTGATATTTGACAGTGAAGGAAAACAAATTCTCAGAGCTTTTAATGAACTTTGGATTATTATTGAGGATCTTATAATGCTTTTGCCAGTGATACAGCAGCACTTTTGTTTGGGAAATGAAGGATCTACACATAATATGTTGTGTGAATATGCTGTTTCAAGACAAGCAATATATTTATGTACAATTTTGTATAAATGCCTTTATTTTATATCATTGGAAAAAAATTAAGTTGAAAAAAATAATTGAAATTGTGGCCATTGATGGAAAACCACAGAGGAAAACACACAATTTAAAATATGCAATTCCTGAGGAAACTATTTTGAAATAATTAAATTTATTAGCTTCCTCAAGAGGCTCAAGTCTCATTATTCCTTAAAAAACAGTAAGAAAATATACCTGCAGCACAAAATTACATGATGCATGATATGAAGAATTCAGTGTCGTACGATAAATTTAGATATATTTTTAATTCTAAGTTTAACACCAGATTCAGCTACCCTAAAAAGGGCACTTATAGTCTTTTGACACATTAAAAGCAGAGATTGATATGCTTACCAAAAAGTCAGGAAAATTTGGAAAAATAAAATAATAAAAGCATTCATTTAAAGAAGAGCCAATTATGACAGCGAAGATGTTTGTGGTCTCAAGGTTAACAGAAGAAACTATGAAAAAAGGATTTTAATCATCCCCCCCCCAAATATTAACATTCATTTCTAACATTCATCTATTTCATAATTTGATTTATAACATTGATCTATTTTCTATATTATATAATACATATTTCATTAAATAAAGGTTTGAAGTTTATTACAAATTTTTTGTATGATTGTATAACAATGTTTTCTTTACCACTGAAGTTACATAAATTAAATATGCATTTTTTCCTAAAATTCCTGTCAATGGACATAAATGGTTTATTCCTCTGTCTTCAAATGCAAAATAGATAAGCATTTAAATTTCATTCTTAGATATTAAACCTCTGAATTTTTTTGTGGGGGGTATCTTTTATTTAAGAGGAAATACCTTTTCAGGATTTTAATGAAAGCCTATGTGTGGAAATGAGATGACTCAATGTGTGACTGTTACAAGGTAAAAACCTGAACAAAATGGTAATTTACTAGACTTCCTCAAATTTTAAATAGACTGTTGTTTTAAAATGCTTCAGCTTACATAAACTAAGAAAAATACATCATAGCAACATTGAAACAACATTGCTTTTACAGCTGTACCAATAAAACCTAATTACTGACAATGACGTAAATATACTTAATTCAGTAGAACTTTACGCAAAATATAAGTTT